TTGAACTCTAGGCATGGAGTTGTTTTGTGGTTGATGGCAAAGTTGAGGCCTTTGTTTAAAAGTTGAAGTTCTGTGTCGTTGAATGTCTGGTCAGATCTGTTGATTACAAGGTTAGGCTGAGCTGCATTGTTGTGTTTCACTTCACGTTGTTGTAGTTTCCTTAGTTGATCTAGTTTCATATTGTGTATAGACTTCTTTTCTTGATTCAGCAATGAGTTGTTTTGGTTGATGGAACATTGTATATTGCCGTAATCATCTGGTTTGAGGTAGCAGGCTAGTTGGTGGTCTAATTTCTGTTTGAGTTTTTGTAAATAGTCCAGTTCTTGATATTTGGAATTCAGGGTTGCTTTTAGGAGTTTTTTCTGCATGTTTTGGATAATACCTGAAAACTGGTTTAAGTTTTTCGATAACTTGACCTTCACAAATTTAGGAATTAGGTTTTCAGAGCGGCACTGTCTTAGGAAGGAAATATCGTTTCTCTTTTTGATGATTTTTATATTCAGGTTACGTAGTTATATTAAAGTTTTTCTTCATTACCCATTCAAGCCGTCTCCAGCCATTATTAGTCTCAAAGTGGGTTCCTCGTCATCGAACAAGAGATGAAAGGTGGCAGCACAATGTATGTTATATGATTGGTCAAGGTGCTTGCAATATGCAAATCAGTATTATATAAATATCAACGTGTTTTTTCAATTACTGTTTTCTTTCCTGATAATGATGGGTCTGTAACCCACCTAAAAATGTAGATGTTTTAGTAAGGCCTGGTGCCTTCAATGATGTTTTCATTATTTTGTACTTTTAAACATTGTTTTAACTGAGTTTTTAATAAATATCTTTACACAAGTGCTGTGTTTCTATTTTTCTTTAATGTCATAATTGTTGGAGAAAAATACCACTGATCAGAAGTTTAATCTTTAGGTAAACCAATGATAAGGACTAAACTGAAACATTAGTATTAACCCTTTCACGTCGAGCTCAGTATAATATACACAAGTAAAGCGTATCTTTACAAAATTTGATAGACTTTTTGTAAAGATTACAAATCTTTCGTACACAAAAAACTCAACTTTTTAATAAAGTATTTTTATTATAGATTTGTTAGTAAAAATATTGAGTCTGTTTCGTTACCATCCAAGCGCGAAGTGATTTTCGTGTTATAACTAAAAAACTATTTTTCGTCCCAAAAATCTCAAAAATTATTTGTGCAATCTCTAAAACCTCGTAAATACATTTCAAATGTGTGTTTTCAGAAAACTTAAATTTTTTCTGTTATTTTCTCTACCCTAACTCTATGGGGGTCTGTCAATTTGACCTGTCTTGTAACCACCATAAAAAATTAGGAAATAAATATAAATTATGCCTCTTTTATTCTAGAATGACAACAAATTATAACCAAAAAAAAACATAAAAGTTTAGATTAAATAGCTTAAATCTCATAACATTATACATTTATATATATTTATTATTTTTATTATATTGACCCTTCAGCTATGCCTGGCTAACAATACAGATGTTACAATGACGTGGCATACATGCTCTCATGTTTCCATATCCAATAATATAAAACTGACCTATAGTCTTTACAAACTGACCTGTCTTGGCTGTGTTTTAGTGGACTAGTATTTTGTA